TAAGGTCATGCAGGATTATCAATAGCTGGACCCTACACCCTTGCAACCCTAAACCAGTATGGCTGGCCTCCTCCGGATCCCATATGTCCTTGCCTTGGTATCTTCCGTAGGCTAGGTTGCTGTTAAGGAACTTAAAATATGCTACATTATGCTACCACAATATGGCAAAATATTGGTATAGTAAATACTAAAATTTTCTTAAACTTGATTTTCAGGTTCCTTAGCTGCAACCCAGTAGGTCGGCGGCCGAACGGTACGGCTGCGACTCAGCCCAAGGCCCGATTCCCGCTTGTGCCAATCTAGCACCCGGCCAGGGAATGGAGAAATCAGCCTGGCACCGTACCTAGGAACAGATGAAAAAACCATGTAGTCAGTTCGGGTTTAGGGCTTAGTTTCTTTAGGGTTTGGGGTTTAACATTGGAAAAGCCATCCTCCAAGATCCTGAACGCCTCAACCTGTGGGCCCAAAACCCCCGAGCCTTGAAAGCCCTGAACCCAAGATCCAAACCCTTCCAAGATCCAAACTCTAAACGGCCTTGAACCTCAAACTCCCTAAGCCCTAACCCTAAACCCTAAACCCTGAACCCCTAAACCCTAAACCCTAAACCCTAAACCCTAAAGCCCAGGGTGAAGCCGTGGTCATCGACGCGGCTCCTGGCGAGGCTCCGCGAGCTGTTGGCCAGGCGGGGCAGAAGCTTGGACACTTCACTTCCTACGGGTTCTTAGGAAGAGGGGGGGTGAATCCCAGCATGGGAATTTAGGGTGTAGTGGAGGGCTTAGGACAAAAGTTTCGAGTTCAGGCTTAGGGTTGAGGGGTGTATGGACAAAATTACAGCGGATCATTCTGGAAGGAACATCAAAGAGATTCACTTGTCGACTCGCTCCTTAAACTTAAAGGTGATCAGATACGGGATTAGGGGGCTAGGGTTTGCGGATTAGGGGGTTTAGGCTCAGGAGTTTGGCCTGAGGGGTTACGGGGTTTAGGCGCTTGGGGTCTTGGAGTTGCAGGCAACGTAGGAACCAGAACCAATTAATGTTCCCCTACAGTCCTTGTTCAACTCTCATATACGGTTCATCGAGCCTCAACAATGATGCCATGCTTTTGCTGTTGTAGACCACGGCATTTTGCTGTTTCAGACGCCAGATTTCAGGGTTGCGGGGCTTAGGGTTTAAGGCCTTCAGGTCTTCGAGCTCATGGGTTGGGGTTTCAAGGTCAAGGAGCTTAAGCTTCAGAGCGTAGAGCTTAAGAGCTTTAATTAGTCTACTCGCGGGAAAACTGACCTCATAGTTTCTAAAATCATCAACGATGCATTCCCCAACTTTCGCATGGAACATTTAGTGCGCAAAAGCGAGGATAGGTTTTTGAGGGGTTCCTAAGAGCCTGAACCTGATATTCCCCTACGTCAAAGTCTGAACCTTAAACCCAGACGCACAATCAGCCCAGCCCTTGCCTCTTAAACAACAAACTGTGTAGCTGAAGGTGGCCCCAGGACGGCCTCAAAAGCGACAGACGCGTAGCAGCGCAGGGCCGAGCAGGGCTTAGGCAGACTTCGAGGGACTGAGGCAACAGAATTGTGTACACCCTGAAACCTATTCTGTCATGACGCAATATCATGATTCTGTTTTGAGGTCTGATAGCTTAAGTGGGTTTGCTGGAGTTTTTTTTTTTTTTTTTT